GACCCGGGTTCGAATCCCAGCACCCACATGGTGGCTAACAACTGTCTATAACTCCAGTCCCAGGGGATCCAACAACCTCTTCTGTCCTCTGTGGGCATTGCATGACTTACCTACATTAAGGCAACACACACATACACATAAAATAAAAATAATAAAATTGTTTTAAAAAGTTAAAAAGAAAGTTTGAAATCATTGTGTTACTTTTCCTGATCTAATTCCTGTGTCCTTTGTTAGGTACATTTTTGTTATTCCTATTAATTTATTTGCTGTTAATAATAAATAATGTCTCAGTCCATTTTAAACTTAACATAAATCATATTGTAGAATAGAAACCCTTCTCCAACTTGCTTTTTATACTCAATATATTTTACAGATTAAAACGTAAAGACATTGCACTGATTTGTTTTAATTAATGTACCACACTGAAGTATGTGAAAATATACTATATATTTAAAAAATTTTGTACATGCATGTGTGTGTGCATGAGTGAGTTTCACAAGATGCACTTGCACGTGTATGTGTGTGTGTTCGGAGGCCAGAGGTCAACACTGGGTGTCTTTCCTCCAAGGCCCTCCATCATATAAATATAATATATTATGTGCATGAGAGTTAAGCCTGCATCTATGTAAGTGCACCCATGTCATGCAGTGCCCACAGAGGTCAGAGAGGGTGTCCTCAGATTCCCTAGACCTAGAGTTACAGATAGTTGTTAGCTACCATGTGAGTGCTGGGATTCAAGCCTGCATTTTCTACAAGAACAGCCAGTGCTCTTAACTGCTGAGCCATCACTCTAGTTCCTCCATCTTATATTTTGAGACAGGTTTTCTCAGTGAACCCAGGGGTCAACAATTGGCTACACTGGCTAGACAATAAGTGCTTGGGATCTGCTTGGATCTTGCCCTCCTGAACTACAGTTCCAGGTGTGCGTCACCATGCTCACCAAATAGGGTGCTGAGGATCCAAACTCAAGTCCTTATGCTTGCATAGCAGGCACTTTACCAACATACCCCCAAACACAGTATTTTATCTATTCTCCTATAATACTTATGACGTTCCTATTTTTATTATTGTTGTTATCATAAACAATGCTACATTGAGCATCTTTGTACAGTGCCCTGAGGCTGGGTGAGATTGTCTTTTTGGACAAATACCTACAAATACAATTGCTGGGTTACAAAAACATTTTAGACAGGGCTTTCCTGAATAGTGAGTTGAGTTGTTAAGCAATTGTACCAATGTATGATTTCCTCAGCAATATATGAGAATTCTTGCTTTTCCACATCCTTGCCAAAAGGGTTTGTCAAACTATTTGATTTTTGTTAATATGGTGATTATGGAATGCAATCTCATTTTATATTTCTTTCATTACTGTTGCTATCTAAGCCCTGCGATCCTTTCAACATTGAAGTTTTTTAGATGTATGATATAGTCATAGTTTTAAAATTGAAGCAATATTATAAAAGTATATATTTTAAAATCTTACTTTCACATTGCCTCACTCACCCAAACCAACTCCCAATTTTATTAGTTTCTTGGATAGTTTTCTGGTGATTTTATGTAAATAGATGCAAATGTGAATGCATAGTATCTCCCTTCTGTCCACAAAAATAAAATAAAACATAAATTGTTCTATACCATGGCTTTCTCCATTAATAATGCACCATGAAGAGCTTTCCATAAGTTTGTCTGCTTATTCATATCTGCACAGAACTCTGCTTTTACAAGGCGCACAAACTATCTAATCAGCCCTCTTCTCCTGATGCATACTGTAGCTTTTCAACTCTGTTTTTATTAAGAATAATGATGTAGGGGCTGGAAAGATGGCTCATTGGTTAAGAGCACTGACTGCTCTTGCAGAGGACCTGGATTCAATTCCCAGCGCTGACATGGTATCTAAAAACTATCCATAACTCCAGTTCCAGAGGCCCCAACACCCTCTCTGGACTCTGTGGGCATTGCATGCATGGACACGCCTAAATAAATGGAGGCAAACCACTCATACACATAAAACAACATAAATGAATAAATAAAAAGGAGTTTTATAACAACATTTCACACAGTTATGTAATGTATTTTGACCATGCTCGCCCCATTACTCTCCACTTTCCCCACTCCTGCTGAACTCCTTCCTCTTCTCAACTAGATTCCCTTCTACATTTATACCTTTCATTTTATTTATTTGTTTGTTGTTTGTGGGACACAGTGACTTTAATTGGGGCTGCTCACAGTAGCATTAACAAGGCCTTCCCCAGTGACCATGGATCTGCCTATGAATCTCCAGGGGTGAGTGGGGTCTCATGAACTCCTCTCCCTTAGCACTCAGATTTCCTTTTGTCTCTACCTGAGGGGTTTCATACCATGCAGAATTTCTTTCTTTTTCAGTAAGCAAATTTCTTACTCTTTTTTAAACAGATCTGGACTTTAAAAAATATTTTACTATTTTTATTTTAAGTGTATGAGTGTTTTGTCCGCATGTATGTAAGTGCACCTGTGCCATGTGATGCCAGCAGAGGTCAGAAGAGGGCATTGGAGTCCCTGGAACTAGAGTTACAGATGGTTGTTAACTGCCATGTGGGTGCTGGGAATTGAGCCTGGGTCCTCCGCAAGAGCAGCGAGTGTCCTTCACTGCTGAGCCATCTTGCCAACCCTTGGTTTCACTAATTTTTTATAATGATCAAAATTCTCTTATCTTTTGAAGGTTTTTTTCTTCCTTTTGTAGTCATTTATAAACATTATATGTTATAGTTTTTTCCCTGTAAATCCTGGAGTGTGACTATTCTCCCAATTTTCAGATCTTTTTTCAGTTTCCTGTTCTCTGGATTATAGCTTCAAGATCACCCATTGGTCACTATGAACACATCCTGGTGTATGGCCTCTACCTGATGACACTGGTTCTGTTTTTCATGTGTCTCTGATTCTAACACATGGAGTTAGAGTTCTTTGCAATTCTTACTATGTTTGGCTGTGTACTGTTGGAAATGTTGAAATTTTAGATGTAGCATCTTTCTCTGAAGGGAAATGAGTTGTTTCTTCCCATTGTGTCCAGTCATGGCCAGTGAATGGCATCAAACTCAGGGCTTGAAATGTTCTGCAAAGCAGGTAATCGCATGACCTCTGACCACAAAGCTAGGCTAATCTACTTCTAGCAGCTCCCCTCATCTTGGAGGAGGAGTTCATTTTATCAGCCAATCTGGGGAAGGCCTTCTTCCTAGCTCCAGTCAATGAACTTCCATAATGTATTCACCATCATCCACAATTAAGAATATGCAAATGAGAGCAGCAATGAGGTTTCACTGGTTGCTAAATTTTAAAAATCTAAAAGATTTTATGAAGGATGCACTTGAGTATACTGGGACTTCTTACCTGTCAACTTCAGGCCTGAGGTTGTGTGAAGAAGGACAATACATTTTAGCTTCATTATACATGTTTTTGTAGTACTTAAAACTTAACTATGT